GGTGTCGCTGCCGGGTCCAATTCAAGGCAGCCCTTCAGAGCACTATGAGATTCTTCACCTGTAAGCAAATAAGAAGGAACTTGATGCGAAAAACGAAACATCTCTTCTCTTGCAATCCTCTTCGCCTCCAATGGGTCCATATGTCGATGGAATATTGCTTTGAAACCAGCAACTTTCACAAGCGGGATGACAGACACACCATCCTCGTCACTATAATCATCAAGTATTTCCACCATTTCATACTTGTATATCACATCATCAGGTGTAAGCTCATTCCAATCTGGAGACCAATTTCTATATAAGGCCCAAATATCACCCTTCTTAGGGACAATTCTAATGACTCCCCGTGGACCCTTCTCCCATCTAACTTTATGTGAGAATATATTGACTGTATCACTTATTTGATATCTGCTCACCCTGAAATCTCCACATGTCTTGGCAAATCCAGAGGCTATCCAGTTAATTGGTCCCAATTCACTGTTGGATTTTGAGTTAAGAAAACTCATACGGATCTTAAAAGGATTCAAAGAGAGAACTTTTTGAACCATGGCATAGAGTCGTGGCATACCATCTTCACTGTCATATGTAGCCCACACCTGATCACCTTCAAAAGTCCTCTCAAGCCGGTCCTTGTCAAAGTCATAGAAATCGGGATCAGGAACATCAATTGATACAGGTTTTGGAACTTCTTTAGCTTTATTGTCATCATGGTCAAGGATTGGCTCCTTCATGCTGGCGTCATCTAAGCAGGTCTGTTTTCCTGTATCCCCCCCATCCATAACAGCTGCTTCTTGTCCACCTTTCTGCTTTAATTTCTCTTTTTCTACCAGCTTGGTTGACTGAGCTAAGTTCCATTCTTCGAGCTTGTTAACAACTGTCGCCTTAACCTTCTCGATTAGCATTTGCCGGATATTAATCTGTGAAAACTCCAAGATAAAGTTGTTTTGTCTAGCAGTCATTCTAGTTCTAGGAATATCCTCAAAAGCACCATTAGCCCTTTGAACTTCAGGATTAGCAGTTTTTTCTATGCTTGTAGACATATTTTCTGCCTCATCTCTTCCATGATAAATGCTGCTCTGATCACCATTGCATCTCCTTTTTGCTGGTCTGCCAACCTTAGACACAGGTTGCTCCGAATCATAAGCACTACTAATGTGACCAGAATTATAAGTTCCAGATCCATCCACTGTATTCTTATAGACATGACTATCTGTCTGGAGAGACTCTTCTCTCTGGGCTGCAGCTTGTAGCTTCTCATACTTTCTTCTCTTTTTCTCAAGTTTCTTATGGACTAGGTGCGCAGCCTGAAAAGGAGAATCTGCATTACTAGCAGTCCCAGCTGATCCAGTGAGAGAGCTCCATTGGAAGTTCTGATGGTTATAAGAATCAAAATTTCCCCCATTCTGAAATTCCATAGGTCCTGTTCCAGGATAAGTGGAGGTACTGAACCCAGAACTATAACCATTCTTTACTTGGTAACTATGGTTTGAATTATGTTGGTGCTGCTTGGCTGACCAAGGAACAGATGAATTGGCTGCATTACCTGGAATTCCTATCTCGACAGCCAAGAAGGCTTGATGGCAATTAGGACATAAAAGATTGTGATTAAGGTAAATCCTAAGATATTCGTACTGCATCCTGCACTGTTTGCATGATGTCCAGAATGTGTTCAAATTTACTGTATGAGTTTGAGGAGGCACAACAGATTTACCAGAACTATTGTTACTCTTTCGAGCCCTTTTGTTGGATGTTGTGGTGTTGGAAAACGAGTGGAAACCATTGGCAGAATTATGAGCCGAATGATCCATGTGTGGTTGAGAAGCTTTGTTCTGAAAACCGTTAACATTTCTGTTCTGGTCATATGCTGTTTTCCTGTTCTTATCAGACAACACACTCCAAGCCTCAGAAATGAGCTTGAAAGCACCTTCTGCCCCTACAGACTTGTTCTTGTCAGGGTGTAGCTGGAGGGCTAACTTCCTGTAATGCTTCTTGAGTGCCTCTTCATCTGCCAAGGCATTCACAGAGAGAATTGCATACCAATCACTCTCCCCATTGATCTTCTTCTCTGCTGCAAGATGAACATCCAGAGTGGCAATCATTTGGCTTATGCCTTCTAGTGAAGGATAGAGATTTTGGGCCTTCAAAGCAAACTTCTTGGCACCCTTGACGTCCTTGGAGTTGAATTTCCTTTCCGCGATTTCTTTTGCCTTAAGAGCCTCCTCCATGTCACAATCTATTCTCTGCTCTCTTCTTCTGGTTTTTCAAATGGTCTTGCATATGAAGAACAGAAGATAAAGAACAAGTTTTTCCTGCAATTCTACCAACAGCAACACAACACAAAACAACGCTTCCCCCTGCTAACTAGTCCCTATCCACAGCTGAAACAACAAGACCAAAAAGAGAACTTTACCATACTGAAGTGAGAAGAAACCCTACGCTATGAACGTTGAAAATGAACTGTAATGTCTAACAAGAACACAAAAAATCACCCACGAGCTCTTCATCTGGACCATCGCCCACTAGATCGTAAACCTAAAAGGACAGGCGAGAACCCCAAAGAATCGAAACAAAGACAACTCATTCACATTTCAAACAACGAAAAATGCTACCTTTTCAGCTGAAAAATCACGAAACTACGTTAAAAAAACCAATTTTTTGTTCAGTCCGAAGATAACTTCTTCCAAGATCTCGGCGCTTCCCAGGGAACAGTAGACGGACAACTGAAAGACTAAACAAGAACAGATTCACAGATGTGTAGAGTTCATCCCGAGAACGAATTAACCGACAGTGCGACCAAATTTCCATTTTCTACGGATCTGAAACCTAGAAACCCTAGATGGCCCGATCGCCGGAATCAGACCAGAGCCGACAGCAAAAGCGAAAACAAAGAGAAAAAGAAGATTAACGAGAACACGAAATGGGAAATTGAGGGAAGGAGAGATCACCAATTTCCGAGGAAATCCACGTAAATGATGGAATTATTAGATCCGAACGGCCGCCGTGAGAAGCCCTCTGCGGCCAAAATTTGCCCCCAATTTCCTCAAAAAATTAGGGCGAAATTGAGCTCCTTTAGTCAAACTCCCCCTTCAGACCTAAAACAAATAATCCACAAATACCAAAATGCTTATGCAAGAAAAGGAAGTAAAGGAAAAGGTCACAACCATGTGTATATTCTAATATCTTCTTAACCCTAACCCAACTTTATCATCCCATTCCTCACTCCCTAACTAGGGTTAATTGTTTTTTTTTTTTTTTGTTCAGGGTGTGATTTGTAATTTTGGTTGACTGTATATATTATAATTATGTAATTAGAATAATAGTTTCAAATATAATATTAGTATTGCATAGCTGTATTTCATGTTGGTATTATTCTAAAGAATACATATTATTCTAAAACAAATAGTTCAGAAATACCAAAATACTTGTGCAAGAAAAGGAAGTAAAGTATAAAGGTGAAAACCTTGAGTATATTTTAATATCCACATAACCCTAAACTAGGGTTAATTTTTGATGCAGGCTGTGATTTGTCATTTTGGTTGATTGTAGAAGTTATAATACTGCAATTAGAAAAAAAAAAGGGTTCAAATATGTTATTAGTATTGCATAGCTGTGTTTCATGTTATTCTGAAAAAGAATCTTATTCTAAACAAATAATTCACAAGCTTGTGAATTATTCTAATGTCCTGTTAACCCTAACCCAACCTTTATCACCCCATTCCTCACACCCTAACTTGGGTTACTTTTTGATCCAGGGTGTGATTTGTCATTTTAGTGTACTTAGAAAAAAGTTTCAAATATAATATTAGTATTGTATAGCTGTGTTTCATGTTTATTCTAAAATATTATATATATATATATATATATATATATATATATATATATATTACATCTTACTACTGCTTTATTGAGGATATAATGCTTTAATTTTCTTCTTTTGTAAGATAATATAAATCACAGGCAGCACATGTGAAGCATTTTATTTTCAAACTAATTAATATCTCATGTGGCCCCCACATGTCATGGAAGCTCTGAAACTTTTAGGGTTGGTAACCCAAGGAGTTGGGGTAAAGGCAAGTGGGTAGGTTTAGATTAACTAGGAAGGAGAAGTTGGCTTGGGAGGCCTTTTACCACCCAAATGGTCTCACTAATTTGGAGATTACTCAAACACCATTCAAAGGATACCCACATTTTGTTTTTCTTGGCTATTTACTGTTTCTAAAGCTTAAACATAATTACCTTGTTTGCAGGAATAGTTTCACAGATTCAGAATCATCATTATGGTTCATCTTTTTGGTAAGTAGGGCAGACTTGGTCAGGCCAAGTCCATATTGTAGCTGAAGAAGGAAATCTGGTGAGTGTCTCATCTGCCCTTTTGTCAGCAGCACTCAGCAGGGAGTACTGTTCACAGTGTGTCTTTTCCAAGACAAAGCTGTGTGCAGTCTGCTCATTGGTTCTTCTCCTTGGAACATGGAGATGAGAGCACAAGCCTCTGCAGCATGAATGTCTCTCACTTGCTAAAGAGAGAAAGATAGAGAGAGATGAGAGTTCTAATCTTTGAGAATGAGGTCTTCTTTTTCCTCCAAACTTCTCTACTCAGTTCAAAAGATCAATGTGTCCAATCTCATCATGACAAGCAAAGGATTCATTTTTGTGATTGAAATACTAGCCATCCATGTGGCAAAAGAATACCTTAAAACACAATGAACCCAAGTTTTGTAGACCAATGAACTGTTGTCATATGATGTCTTAAACCTGCCACACACAGATCTCTATGTAATTATCTGTTGCTACTGCTACTGGTATAACTTCAAGAGGACAAGTCTTTCACAATGAACCTCCAATGATCCAGTAGGAAAGCTTGTAATTGGATGCCGAAGTGTGCAATTTAGAGGCATCTTGAATAGGTTTTAAGATCCAAGTACTTGTGGAGGTAATGCCAAGTTTCTGAACATTTCCATCTTGCAGTTGGCATGAGATTGCTGCACCATTGACCTGTTTTCATTCAAAAGCCAGAGTCAACTCAGTAAAAAATCCTCTCAAGTATGAGTTTAAACTAATCCAATGAAAACAAAACTTTGAAACTTTAATACACTATTGCTGTAAAATATGGGGAAATGATAAGCTTATTTTGTGGATAACCATTCATGTTAGAAAAATAAGTGACAGAGCTGATGGAACACAAATCCAACTTAAAAAAAGAAAAGATATCTATAACATGATTCTGCTGTTTGTAACATCACAATGAATAAGTCTCAAAAGGGAGCTCAGTGATCAATTTTATGAAAGAAGGGTTAGATTTGGTTCAAAACTTCACTCTAGGTTTACTTTTGGGAAAGGCATTTTTCGGACAGTATTTTTCATCTTAGTTGGACCATAAAAGACCTTCCTTCAGAGGGTTACTAACAAAAATAGTAGGTTTACACATTGCTTTCTTTTGCTCAGTGTGTAACTTGATCAAGCAAGGCATGAGATGGTAGAGCATTGATTACTTTTACCTGTTCAACAAGTGAAGCAATAAGTTCTTCAAAGTCCCTTTCACCACATGGGTCCCTAAATGCTCCCATATAGTCAAATGGGATAGTATTTTGCAGCAAATAACCATCAATACATCACAATGCACATGTGACAACTTTATCAAATCAGGTTCGATTCAGTTCGAACCTTACATACTCCAATTGTGTGTTCTTGTCATTTCTAGAATGTTACAGCTCATGTCTTTCTTTAAAAATTTCTTGTGAAAACATCAACAGATTCTGAAAAGAAGGTTTTTATTGTTTTGAATCCTGAGAACAAGTTAATTGTTTAGTGCTTTCATCAATGACTTTTACTTAACATAATTTCACTTTCTAATGTGTACTCATCCAGGAAAATCAGTATCTTGGAAAATTTTCCAGAACCATAAATCTACAAACTGCAGTTGTGCAGTCAAACAACAAAAAGGCTGCCAAAACAGCATTTAAATGGTAATAAGAGGAACTTGAGGTGGTACTCACATTATCTAAACAACCAGATATCTAAGATTTAAAGCATCTTTCCTGTATAGATCCCCTGGGAATAGGCATAGAATTTAGACTTCGAAGGTTTCCTTCAGCTAATGTGAGTAATGAGAGCAGTAGGAATTAGTTCAAAGGAAAACTGTCTGATAGTCAACAGTGAAAAGCAATGAATAAAGACACTTCTAGTGAGTGAATGCTGATATTAATGACCTTCAGATGTACAACAGGCATACTAGCAATAAAATCATTTTCTTCTGATCAGTATGGGATGAGCAATGTCATGCCTGTAATTTCAAACTTTTATTCTTACTTTCTATTATTCTGTAGACGAGACTAAAATTTCTTACTTTATCAGTACTAGGTCATACTTCTTAATCATTTACACAGCTCACATGAGATTGACAGATAATTATGTTCCAAGCAATTACCTCTAGTTTCTGTGCCCTTTTGAAGATGACTTACTCCATTGCCAGGAAATGGACCAGCTCAAGAAATTTCTAATGATATTAGACATACAACGTAATGCCTTAACAGAAGCATCATACAAGAGAAAAAAAAAGATTTCAATTCATCAAAGTTTTGTTAAATCATCATCTGGTACCATCGCATAAAGGCACATAGCCTGTGCTCAATCAATGCCATTCAATACACTTGGTTTGCAGCATATACAGAGAAAATATGCTATAGAGGTGATTTTACAGAAACCAACCTGTTTAATCCATGGATTCAAAATTGGGAGCATACCAACCCAATTCTTCCTTGATTCTGTTGATTCGTTCAATTTGTCCTTTGGAGTCACCTAAAGCTGTTGTGAATGGGTAAATATATGTGACTTTTGTTGCCATTGATCTAAAAGCAACAACATCTTTTCTAACCAGGAACTCCATTACATCACGTCCAAATCCTCCATCAACCTCTGCTTGTATATAGTTCCCTGATAAATGCAATGTCAAGTATGTCACCCTGCTTTGTCCTTTATGGGTGAACATACGTTTGATAAGAAAAAGACGAAATGGAAAAACATATGTAAAAAAAGATGTACAAATCATGAACATTATAGCGATGGTTGATATACCAAAGTTCCATGATTCAAATTATGAGCCAAGAATTATAACGAAAGCCAGTAAGCCTTGAGGATGGGGCATAAGATGTGAAGATTATATAATCAGATATATGTCTAGTCATTTCATCAACCTCACTACAGTAGTTGTTATAAGTTGTTCATCTAAAAGAACCATATGCTATTAAGATTTTATGAACTACCTAAATGAATAACTGGATGATTTTTTAGTTTTGAGCCGTCTGAATATTTTATTATAGAAAAAATGATATATGCTCAAAAGGAGTGTTCACGATGTGTGAAAATCATTGACTTAGTTGAATAATGTGGTCCACTCACCAGCAAACCCAACCTAATCGTTGCAAGAAAGATTTGCATCGAAATAAAGATATGAAACTTTCTCTAAGCTACTTAAGAAAAAAATGGCTGATTTCTGAGAGCTTTAGACTCTAGACAAGTTAATATAAGCTTTGAAGGAGTGTGGATAAGAAAGCTTTGTGTTAGTTTATATCACAAACATGTTGTATTTATAATTAATATATAGCTTACTGTATAGCCAAGGGCCTAACAGGTGTGTGGATTTATAGAAATAAGTGCATTAGTATATTATCCAGTTGTTAGGTAATATAATATAGCATGATTTTTCTCCGCTGCAAGCAGGAAGTGCTTATGAACATTAGAGAGTGTATTAAAGCAAGCTTTTACTCGTTGCGGATCACCAAATCTAAGAATATGTTGTCCCTTCCTAATGGTCTTTTTTTCTAGTAAACCTATTGTAAAATGAATTTATTGTCTTCATTATTGTTTCTTTTTTTGTATTCCATCTGATTAATTATTCTTTTGTTGAACTGTTAAATATTTACCTGTCCACTCATGTTGCATTATGAGTTCACAAGAGGCAAAGAAGCTGTTTAGTCTTCCATAGGATGGAGCTGAAGTAAGATGCCGTTTACAATAGGAACCACATCTTTTCTTTATTCTTAGCAGCTTTGTGTTAGATAACATAGTTGTCATCACAAGTTTCAACAGAAACTGAACTTGTTGAGAGTAACTTTGTATTAAATCTGATCCTGCCTCTCTATTGCTCACAACCTACATGTTTCAAAGTTAAATTTCTGATAGCTAGAACTCTGAAAGACAGTAAGCTGAGAACTGTATCAATGAACAATAAACTTCAAAGAATATGAGCATCAAGAAGCATGCATTCCCTATTCTTTTGAAGATTTAATTATGTCCTGATCCAGTTCAAAACACATTACATGGTACATTTATGAGTTAAACAAGAGAAAAGCTTTGATAGGAGTGGGCCGTCGGAGTATATTGACAAATCATACTGATGATACAAATGTGTCCATGGACTGTAACCTGAATCAAATGCTTATGTAATTTTTTTTACTAATTATGATAAAGTACAAAATTCCAACAAAAGCCAATAAATTTAGGACACTGAGGACATTGACACCACTGAGACAACTAATTGAAGACTAATAATTGCATCAAAGCATAGGCATCAAATTTAAATGAATTACCGTCAGGTGTTTCTTCGTCTACCTTGAACTCAACGTTCCGCTGTGTTCTCAGGATTGCATCACGCAAACTCTGTTTTAAGAGAAAGAAAGAGAGAGAGAGAGAGAGAGAGAGAGAGAGAGGATACATGTAGAGAGCACATAGTGGCATTTCATCAAACGAGTTATTGCTCACCTGAATGACATCTCCCGAGAAATTATCAGGGATCATCCATGGAAAAGCAAACGACGACGAGTTCGGGTTCGTGGAGACGCAACCAGGATTGATGGATGGACAAGCTCTAATCTTCCTGCATTAGAACACCTCGTTGGTCTTTTGGCCTGTGACGAACAAAGGAGAAGGAAGAAACGGAGTAGGCAGTAGGAATGAATGTACCCATTCTCTAGCCCTAGCTGCAGCTTCTGAGACTGCGCGTAGGGAGTGGCAGGTGAGGAAGGAGGAGACTGAGGATTAGGATAAGGGAGTGCTGCAACGGAGGGCAAGGGAGAGCTAAGAACTATGGCAAGGCCCAAAGGAGCCAAGGAAGAGAGAAGGAAGCCTTTTGCTTGTAGCATGAGAGAAGAGAGTGGTGAGGGTCGAGGCTTGGAGACGGAGGGAATCGGACAGCAGTGAACTGCTGCAGTTGAGGACATCTCCATCTCTCTCTTCTTCTCTTCCCTTCCCTTCCCTTATCTTTAAATATATTAGATACTGGTGAGGAATGAAGATGATAATTAGCTTACATAGTAAAATAAATTATTTTGATTATTATTAATAAGATATTTAATGATAGTAAAAATATATGGATATTAAATGAATAATATTTAGAAATAAATTAAAATTTTAAAGGCATATAATTATTTTATTAATATAAAAATCTCATATTTAAAATTATTATAGATTCATGAAGAATCATAAAGGCATATAAATTATTATAAATTGTTTTTTTCAGTTGGTCAAAATACAATGCTCTCTGCATTGTAATTTTGACTTTTCTCCATTGATGTGCTGACTTCCCGAAGCTGCGGACCTTTCAGCTCCGGGAAATGGTTAAGGACCACCAACAGCTTCGTCTCGTTCCCGATCGGACGCCATGAAGCCAATCCAATTCCTTCCTTTCTTCCTCTTCCTCCTACCGACTTGTACTGCAGAAACTGGAGCTGCAACAGCAGCAGAGGCTCTCGTGAATTGGAAGACCAGCTTGTTCCAACCCGACACGCTCAGCTCATGGTCGCTCACCAACGCCACGACCCCATGCAACTGGTTCGGAGTCCGCTGCGACGCCGCCGGCAGCCTCGTGCAGCTACGTTTGCCCTCTTCCGGCCTCAACGGCACCCTCCTCGATCTCGTCTTCTCTGCCCTCCCTAACCTCACCCACCTCGATCTCTACGGCAACAGCCTCCATGGCCGCGTCCCCCCCGCCATCTCTGCTGCTTCCAAGCTCATCTTCTTGGATCTCAGCTTCAACCAGCTCGAGGGAACCGTACCCGAGGAGATCGCGATGCTCACGCAGCTCACTAATCTCACTCTCTCCGACAACCACCTCGTCGGGCCATTCCCTTCTCCGATCACAAGCTGCACTAAGCTGCTGCACTTGGATCTTTCCCACAACCAGTTCGACGGGGTACTGCCTTCATCTCTGTCGAGGCTGACGAGACTTCAGGTGTTCGACGTATCGAGAAATGGATTCTCCGAGCTGATGCCGGAAGCTCTCGCCAATTGGACGCAGCTTCTCTCGCTTCAGATGGATCACAATCCACTCACCGGGCAAATCCCCAAGGAGATCGGCAAGCTCAGAGAGCTCAGAAGCCTGGGCCTCGGCCAGACCAATCTCACCGGCTCGATCCCGGAAGAGATCTGCAATCTGACCAAATTGCAGGATCTGCAACTCCTGGACAACCAGTTCACAGGTCCCATTCCTCACCAGATCGGCAGGCTCACCCAGCTCACCGTGCTGGAACTCTCTGACAACAGGCTAAGCGGCACAATCCCGCCAGAGATTGGGAACATGACGACTCTGGAGATCCTAGACATCAGCCAGAACCAGTTCTCCGGCGAGTTACCGAGCACCATCTCTGCACTCCCAAAGCTCCAATCTTTGATCGTCATCAACAACAAGCTCTCAGGTAGCCTTCCAGGGGAACTAGGGAAGAACGGCCTCCTGAGCACAGCGCAACTCACCAACAACAGCTTCTCAGGGGAACTGCCACTCCTCCTCTGCAATAACTCCACTCTCCGCTATCTATACGCAGATAACAACAACTTCACAGGAAGACTACCAGCTTGGCTGAAGAACTGCACAGGGATACGAAGGATCAGTTTGGGGTGGAACCACTTCAGTGGAGATCTATCAGAAGCTTTCGGTGCTCATCCTCAGCTCGAGACCTTGTACCTTCCTGGGAACCAGTTAACCGGCACTCTGTCACCGGCTTGGGTGGAATGGAGGAGTCTCGCCAACCTGCGTTTGGACGACAACAGAATCTCCGGTAAAATTCCACCAGAGTTCGGGAACATGACGAACCTCTACTACCTGAGTTTGTCGTCGAACAATCTTACAGGAAGCATTCCGGCAGAGCTTGGGAACTTGGTTTCCTTGGCTTGGCTTAACCTGAGCAACAATGGCATATCGGGATCACTTCCTTCGACAGTAGCTGAACTTTCGGCTCTTCAAAGCTTAGATTTGTCCGGAAACAAGCTCTCCGGCCAAGTATGGAAGTTGCTCGTCCAACATCCAGATCTCAACTACATTGATCTCTCCAGGAATTCTTTCACGGCCATGCTCCCGGTGGACTGGGAAGAGATCACGAATTCAAGCTCTACTTACTTGCCTGACGTGCAGTACTTGCTGCTTTCGGACAACCTCATCGACAGCAGCATCATCCCCTTGCTCTGCAGATTCAGCGGTCTGCAGGTCCTCGATCTCTCGAACAACCACCTCTCAGGGAGGCTACCCGACTGTTTGCTGGACACGGAAGCCATGCAGTACGTCGATCTAGCAAACAACGATCTCCATGGGAGCATCCCAAGCTCGATGGGCTCCAATGCATCACTCGTGTCACTGCACCTGAACAGCAACAGGTTCAATGGGGAGTTCCCCTCGTCCCTGAAGCAGTGCAGGCATCTCGTTGCGCTGGATCTGGGGGAGAACGGCTTCCATGGAGAAATCCCGACATGGGTGGGGGACAGCTTCCCGTCCATGATAGTTCTCAGGTTGCGATCGAACATGTTCGGTGGCAGCATTCCTCCACAGCTCTCGCGGCTTGCCTCACTGCAGGTGTTGGACCTTGCAGACAACGATCTCAGGGGAAGCATACCGAGGAGCTTCTTTGGTCTATCTGCAATGGCGAGAAGACAAGAAGGAAGAGCTGTAGAGTTCAGCGCGCTGGGGTACTCGGAGAGCATTCAGATGATCTGGAAGGGGAGGGAGCTCATGTTCCATAGCACACTCTCACTTGTCACAGGGATCGACCTCTCCAGCAACTCTCTCTCGGGAGAGATCCCCACGGAGCTGACAAATCTTGCAGGGCTGCTCTTCCTCAACCTATCAAGGAATCATTTATCCGGGAGGATTCCACAGGAAATCGGCAACCTGAAATGGCTGGAGTTTCTTGATCTCTGCATGAATCAGCTCTCCGGTCCAATTCCTGCAAGCATTGCAGATCTGGCATTCCTGAGCGTGTTGAATCTCTCCAACAACAACTTGTCAGGGCGGATTCCCAGAGGTGATCAGATACAAACGCTTGATGACCCATCCATCTACAGTGGAAATGCTGGTCTCTGTGGACCTCCATTGAGCAGAGGTTGCTCGGACGGTGCAGGAACCGAAAAAGAAGATGGTTTGGATGAAGAAGACAGCATCATCTGGTTCGGTCTTGCCATGCTGCTGGGGTTTGTCTTTGGGTTCTGGGTATTCTGGGGCTGTTTGATACTGAAGAGGTCATGGAGATTTGCCTACTTCCTCTTTGTGGATCGTGCTTTCGATATGTTCTTCAGGAAGAAGAACATGAGGAGGTGAATGCTGTGATCATACATTTTCTCTTGTAGTTATGAGAGATGACTATATTAAGACTATAATTATGTCATAATAAGCTGTAAAGGTTTATTGTGTGTAATTAGCATCAATACAACATAATAGCACTGTCATTCAAACATTTTGTTGTTCTTACTGTTTTCTTGTTGGTGATTGTAATTATCTGAAGAAAATATCTGAAAATGAAATTAATGAATGGCAAGGAATAGAAATAGTATGGATGTGAGTGTGTGTGTGTGTATTATATTGAAGCTGCACATAAAAATCTTGTTATATTCTTTGTTATTGGAAGTAAAGAAAATATTTTCTCTTTTACTACATTTAATTAGTGTGTTCTAAATTGGCTTGTTTTGATCCATAACTTATTAATGAAACATATTTTATCTATGTTTTTCACTCATTCAAATCATTAGATGAAACATGATACTAGTTTATATTCTTAATACACACTCTGTCATTCATTTGTGTGTGTGTGTGTGGATTATAAATGACTCAATCCAACTAATCAAAATTAATTAAGATATTTTTATTTATAAGGGGACAAGGACCTTCATCTTAATTATTTTTCTATATCATTCCATAAATTTATTTATAAATTTGTGATTTAAGCAATTAGATGAAATATGATTTTAGTTTATATTCTTAACATGGAGTGCTCATTAAATCATAAATGAGGATGAGAGGAGATATAATTTGAGAGTTGGGGGTGTTAGGCAGAGTTTTAATAACCTAAACCTTAACTCTTCTAATAACAGTTAAAGGCAAAAGAATAAGAAAAAAAGAAAAGGAAGAAGATAAGGATAATACATAGATTATTCTCAAACATCTAAGCAGTGTTCTCATCTCATATTAGATTAGATTTGCAATAGATTCTTGGAGAGATTTTGGATATTATAGACAGTAACATAATCTTTATATTTATATTATTCTCTTATGATTGTTGCTTACATTTTGAGCAATAGAGATTTGTACGTTCATTATTTTTATAGTAAATTTTTTTGTAGCTTGTTCTATGATTTTTAACATTCGCATTGGAGGGATTTTCTATGTAAATCTTAATATCTTATTTGATTGTGATTTTTATTTAATTTCATTATATGTTATTACATACTAATATTTGTTCGTATATAAAATACTTTTTTTAATCCGTCCGGGACTAGCAAAGCAATTGGTAGAGAACAGCTTCCTTATTCTGATTCCTGCCATGAAACAATCTGAAAAATATCAGGACGAGTTCATAGTAATCCCAAGTTGGCAACAACCACAAACCATCAACTTAGAGTGAGAAAGATCTGAAGTAGTGTAGCCAATGGCTGGTAGTGATCTCACGGGTAAAAGAATGACTGGGTGGTGAAAACAAACCTTATGCTGACAAAGACGTACGTGAGGCACTCAGAGTGGAAGATATCGGTCAAAAAGGAGACGCTGGTCCTTCTCTTTGCTGATGCACATTTCAGAGGAGGAAGAGGACATTGATCTTATCTGTTTGGATCCCTGGAATAGAAAGATGGCAATCACTCGTGTCTTTGGAACTCAGCAATAGTAAACCAAAGTTGATGCATGTCTAGGCAAAAGATATTCTCAGCACAATAATGAACACTTCAGCTAGCATATCACTCTGTCTCTCTTTCTGCACTAGATATTTTACTTGGGAAAGATATGATGGATCTGAGTGTACACCTTATCATAAACTTGTTACATGGCAAACATGCTAACTATAAATCAGCACCGAAAGAGAAGAAGATACAAGCAACCTGGTGAGGTGAAGAGCTCAGTTAGGGAATGGAGTCCGGCAGCAGCAAGCGTAGCGGGTTAATCTATAGAAGAGGATCAAAGTCCTCGGGGAAATATGCTACTAACACTATCCCTGCTCCTCCTCCTCCTCCTCTGGCTCCCTTGGGCAGAAAGGAAGGGATGATCGGCGGCCGCGGTGGCTACGATACGACAGTCAACGGCGCCATCGACAGTAGTGAGGTAGATCGGCGAGCCGCGAGCTTTATCGCCTACGTTCAAGAGCGACTCAAGCTGGAGAGGATCGAGGAGGGCCGGAGGAACTACTAGTAGGTGTAACAAACAAGGTTTCTTGTAACTGGGTGTAGTTTCTTCTCTGTTGCTCCTTCGGAGTGTGTCTGCCAATAGCTTGTGCTGCAGTACGAGTACAGTAAAATTTCATTTGGCCTTAACAACTTGTATATTTGAAGACGATCATCGTAAAAGAAAGGACTCAAATATGATCTGCGTCAAAAGCTGCACGATACTCAATAGGTGGGAGGCAAAGAACAAGCTCGGTATACATAATTCGCTACCACACTTCGTATAGAATGGCTATGCTCAAAACGCCAAATAAACAGAATATTTTGTACCATCAATCTTTCATCTAATTGTAAGCCACAGCTACTCCAAGTTGTTGCGAAACAAAAAAAGTCAACTTGATAAAGAGGGCAATTCTGAACCAATTGCTTGCCAATGATCTTTACATCTACAAAAATTTGGTGTTTGGTTTGTATTATGAAATTTAGAGCGCTACCCCTCTCTTTAACCTGTGGCGAAAACTACATCATCCCAGAACTCGGAGGAATTCTTTGGCAACCCAACAAGTGGTTAGGTAGCAGAACTGCGGGTTCTCGAGAGAAAACTGATGCTTGGCAACTTCCACATGGACCGGCTGGAACTTGGCACAGCACTGTTTTGTTCCTCCGTAGACTTCCAGATGGACCGACTGGAACTTGGTGCAGTGCCATTTGGTTCTTCAGTAGTTCCATTGGAGACTTCAGAGGTATTTCCAGACATCATATTTGATTTCATGCTTCCTGGTTTAATTGCATTTGAAATATCCTGCAGCTCCTGAAGAGAGAACATCAATTGATAAGCTAGGCACGTCAGGTGTCTCAAGAATTTTTTTATCATATCCACAGCCATACTTGGCATGCCTACATGATCATTTCTAATCATCTAGAAAAAAAAAAAAACAATATGGCTGTACTATCATAAAACTTTAGAATTCGCTCAGCTAATGCAGTTCTAGATTTTGCATTTTTATCTTATTTAGAAAAATAATAATGGTTGTATGGACAAAAGACCTCGCTCCTTAATCGATACACCTTTTCAATAGTTACTTCGGATCAAGAATATGAAAAGTCCATGCAGAAGCTAATATGCTGTTCCTTCAAATTACTTTAAAGGTTTATTCAGACCTGTAGAACCAGAAGATTGGCTACATCTCTTACTCATCCTACTTTGCTGATTACTTGATGGCTTCATGACCTGGAGACTGTCGGGGGTGATGTCACTGCTCACAAACCTGGTAAATGTGGCTCACGTTTTTGTGAGACCACATCACCTTGAAAGTTTCTAGGGCGACAAGTCATCTAAATAGATTGTTGTCTAGCAAGCAAATATTCAGCATCAACATATTTCTTGAGAATATGCTAAATCAGCAGGGCCCTTTAAGTAACTAGGATTCAAATGGAAGAAAATATAGGTGAGACTCCACAGGACACAAATTACAAAAATTAGGTCAGTGTTGACTAGTGTCCTGCAGTGTTAAACCTATTTAAATGGTTAAAAACTATACTAGGAAATTGTCATATATAGGGTCGACATATGAATCATTCACTTAAAAAGAGGTCTCCTAATTCTTTATTGTTATTTCTTTTCCCTTCTTTTTTCTACTCGTTTACCCTGCTACACCTATCTTCCCTTTCATATTTTTTTCATTAGTTATTAAACCAGAAATAGCTTATGATTTTTAGTTAGTGTAACACCTAGACCATAAAGATTACATTTGGTTACTTATGAGGCTTATATGACAGTTATCATTATACCATTAAGCAGAAGAAGATTTAGTACAGAATTATGGATGCACAACCGGCTGAATGCGCAATCAGATTTTTTTTTTTTTTTGTGATTTTTTCTCAAAGAACTTTGCAAGAGAATTAAAAGACAAATCAGGAACACAGCAGGATCTGCAAACCTTTAGGCCTGAAGCTGATACAGCAGTTGATGATCGCAGAATCTGAGAACCATAATTTACAAAGAAATAAGCACCGTGTTAGAGCATTCACAAAAGGAACTAAAGTTAATGCTATAAATGCTCACCCTAGGGCTCTCAAGAGCAATAGACGGCGATGTTGATGATGGTGATGGTGATTCTACTGCTAAAGGTGGCAAAGAACTCGTCTGTTTTGGGATAACCAAGGATTATTAAGATACGAATAGGCAAAAAGTTAATAATAATGAAAAACAATCCATAAAGCAGAGAGTAATAAGGCCACCCTTGCCACTACTGAAGAAGTTTGTGGAAGTTCAATAGCTCGCTGAGAAGTGGTTGGTGAGTCCTGCAAATTTAAGAGTTTGTTAAAAATCACAGAACATGATGACTAAAAAGCAATTTAGGACCATGCACATGATATACTAGCATCTTTGCTAGTGGTCAGCAAATTTGCAGACAAGCCATGCTGCCACCAGTCATTAATGAAAAAACTACCTAGAGAAAATGATAATTACATGAAGTGTCCAATTTGGACTTGCTGCATCCTTATACCCAATCCTTTTGTTCTTTTACCAAATATGCTCAATCCTTTTGTTTGGGAGCCGATTAACACAGTCAATTTGAAGCATAAATCAATATGTAAAAAAATTACCGGTTGATTGAAAATGACAATGTTATAACTATAGCTAGTTGCGCATGCCAGACTAAAGAGTGACATGTAATAGGCGATCAAACAACATATAAAGGTAACCAAATTGCTTGCCTGAAGAAACTCTTGGTTTCTTCCCTGCTCCAATCTCTCAACAAACTGGCAAAGCTGATAGACTCCTCTGGTCGCAAAGTCCTAATATGGAGTAAATCAACACTGGGAACTAAATCAACAAATGAAAAACAAACAGATGAAAAAGAAAATATTTGTAATACCTGACTTCCCTCTATTCGTCCAAGCTTTGTCTCCTGATGCACAATACAGATCGGAATCAGAATATACTCTAACAGAATAATCTTATTTTCTTCTGATGTAAGATAGATTTAGATCTAAAGAATGTAAATTTAACATAATTACCAGAGTCTGGACAGCACGGTGAACAGATTCAACTTCAGTATGGAACAGACTTAAATCCCCATGCAGTTGTGAGACCTACAGATGCATTTACAAGAGTAACACCCTGCAGACAGACCACAGCTATTGGAAGGATGACAAGTAACAGGTACAGAAATGTAATGCCTCACCTCACATTTGGTAGCAGCAGCAAGCTCCTTACACTCGTCCAAATTACTGTCTACACGATCCATTCTTGAAGATATCTGTCGCTTGGCAGCCTACAAATCGGTGATCCATAAATTTTAGGTGACTGTCATGGTTCAGGAACCAAAGAACAATGATAGGAACAACAATAAGGATAATGCAAATAAATTCAGATTAGAACGACAAAGGGAAAAAGATTATGGTGGTGATATAATTATCCAAATATCTTGCATATTGTATGGCCAAATGGCAAGAAAAGATCCATTAGCAGATTTCAAAATTATGTGGGCTAATGGCTTATTGCTGTAGTCCATTCTATTCTCATGCTAGAATGTAGTTTAGTTAATTCAAAAAAAGTTTTGAAAGCTCATTGTTCTAGAAACCTTCCCTCAATTTTGGGTGAAAATGAGGATTATAAAAGACAACTATAACTCTGGAGTAATAAGAGCAGATAACAAATTATATAACTAGAAAAATAATATTTAATAAGTTTGGTACAATCACAAATAGATATAAATAAATTAAAGAAAGCTTCTGACTTCAGGAGACTAAAAGCTAAACTTTTGTTTATAGAAAAAAAGGCCTTATGAATCCATCAAAATTGCCAAAATCACAAAAAGAACATCAAGTAAAGGGTAAGGAAAAATTCAAAGTATTCAGAAGTACAATTAAATGGATTTTCAATCACTTTGACAAATCACTGATGCAGTTGTTGGCCATAATGCAGAAACACAACCCTTGAACAGGAAATATTCATTAAATATGTTTACAGAGTTGTTAGCTCTAGTGATCATTTGTTAACACAACCATTCATCAGCTTAGATGTTTGCAACAGCATGATGCTTGAACAGGCATACTTATGTTCTTAAGTAGGTGATTTGAGTGCTAGTGTCAGAAACTCCAATTAAATTTGGCATGCGTCAGGGAACATGATGCTTTAAATTATAAAAAGATGATGGCATGATCTGATGACTGCACTTCTGTGTATACTGATTAAAGCTTAAAAATAAGAATGACAATGTGATTCTTTTGTTGTCTCTCCTGCAACTATTAAAGGAGGTGGTATGCATTAAAATTTTTTAAAAGAATAGCATGATTCCTACAGAAAGAAGGTAAAGCCCAAATTACTACTTCCAGAAGCAGCAGTACTGCAATCTACTCTATCATAATATCCTTTACATTACTCATTGGAGAATAAACATACAACAGAAGATTGCCACGATAACTTGCATATTTCTTCAACTACACTACTATCATGTGAGGCAGAAAGAAAGCAACAGCAATAGTATGATTAGTCTGTTTAAGTGCGGAAAACAAACATGCTTTGTCTATTAATCAATCAAAAGTAACAGCAACATGATACAACTAGCAGTAGCAATTCGAGAAATTTGGGTTGGTTTTGGGTCATGTTACTTTTGGGTTAACAGATTTGCTCAACCTGAACCAAACCAATTGGCAAATGCATCAGGGAAGCTCATCACTTTCAGCAGGCTGAAATTTTAACATGCTCTAACTACTTTAGACTGTTGAAGACTTCAAGAGGCACTTCAAAGGAGAAGGTAGTAGAAAAGGCATTGACAACGTCAGTGAAGCCACAACATATTGCAGTGAGTTTCATTGTCATATTGCTGTGAGTTCCCTTCTGTCACATTGTCATAAATGTCATCTTCTCCCAGATGACATTTATTCTAGTTCCCTTCACCATGAAGATGACATTGTAGAAAAATGAAGAACACGTTGGAAGATTTCACCACTCTGATACCAGTTGACAGGATATGATTGTATTCTCCAATTTGAGAAGAACTGACCTCCCAAGAACAAATAAGATAACAGAATTTATGAATAAAATATGATAATCTACTGAAAATAATACTATCCATTACCAAGACATAGCCTCCAGGATGTACGAGATGTCATATAGAAATAAATTATGGGATAATTTTTCTCTTTAGACAATTTAAACTCCAAAAAAAAGCTAACTAAAAACACATCTAAAAGTCTCTAAGCATGACTCTTACTACTACTAATAAGCAAAACAGAACTCAAAGATGATAATACAACAAGAAATGATTCCAAACTCAATCTCAAGTAGCAGCCAACAATATCCATGAAAGTGAAACTATCTCCAAAAAAATCAAAAAAAAAAAAAAAAAGAACGTGTCTAGGACTAGCCAAGGTATAACCCCCATGGAGGTTGGTGATTGATCCAGCCTCTTGTAGCTTCTCTGTAACATGAAAACCATGGCAATGATGTTAAGTTTATCTCGATGACCAAGGATTCACGTCTTGAGCTTGGAAAGAGGTACAATAAAGAAAGATTAAGTTCACCAAGTTTAGATTCATCCATTTTAGAAACTCAACTAAAGATAATGATTGTAAGACTCTTAACTAAGTTGTTTAGCCATACTTCCAGACCAACTAAAAATTAATCTGAGCTGGACCAATTTACCTCAGAAAAAAAGAAATTGCAACACATTGTTTTCCCGTTAAATAGTACAAATCAGGTAGACCTGTCAGCTTTGGATTGCAATCCAATCTCGATACACGAGTATTCAGGTTAGTTTTTGGTGACCGAGACAAGCACCAACTTGACTATCAAAATTACTATTCATGCATAACTTATTTAGATATTTTAGCAGATTCATCAACTGTAAACCTCAATTTTGACCTCCATTATGCTGGAAACAAAAGGCAATATGATTCAAACACTGCATCATATGATTTCAGAAAAAGACATCCTATTTATAATGTTTCATAATTTAGAGCAAGTTGGAATGAGAAAAGAGTTGTTTAATATTAAACTGACTTTCAGAATATAAATCAAGATAAACTTTAACAATAAAAACGTACTGCAATAGATGATGAAAGTAGCTCCAATTGCTTGCCTACTCGAGTGCAAGCATCAGATAAGCCACGCCGTGTCACAAACATCATGTCTGAAAGTTTCCATCCCTATGAGATGCAAAATACTAGCATTTAACTATACAGTTTAATAATGCAAATTCAAATATCATTCACAACATATCAAATAAGCACCCTGCTGACCAACAGGATCACTGTTAAAAATGAATTTGGTAGAAAGTACAGCATGATGACCCTGTTCAACATTTAACTACCTCATTATGCTGTCTCATTATGTTTCTTTTCAGACTCAAACATTAGCAATAATCTAAAATCTCTGGAAGCAGTAATCTAGAATCTTCAAAATCATTCAAAAATTTTATGCACAAATAACTTCAATTGATTGGCAAATCAATATCTCACGGCAACCATATGATCCAGCACATAAGAAGCAAAACTTTAGGTAGAGGTACTATTCCAAGTGCGACAGTGACATTGTGAATCTGCAATAGTTGCTCTAAAGTGGCACCTTTTGAATATGTTATATACAATTTGAGATTATCACGATTATCTTTTAGGTCTACTAGGATCCTCCTTCCCATGGTCTTTTGATTTTTATTTAGAATACAAACACAACCTCATTTGTTCATTCAAACTACACTTGCAATCACCCTCTTCTATGTTTGATTTTATTTCTCAACTTCTACTACAATATATAGCTTATAAAATTCTCTACTGCCACTGTGCTCCTTGCATCAAGAAGCAACATTCTTTTTTCCTAAAATTTTATTCAAAAGATTATCTTCAAATATTGCTAATAACCTCGTGAATCAAAGAACCAATCAAGAAGCAATATTCTTCCTCCTCAAAATATCATTCAAAAGATTGTCTTCAGAATTGCTAATTAAGTCCATCAATCAAAGAAACCATCTTTACACATTCTACCATTTCAATTGTCCAGTCTATACGGAATCACATGTAGTATTAGGATACATGCAAAAAATATAAATTCCTAGAGACATTATTGAAGAAGGCAGCATCAGGATTACTATGATAAACGAACTCATTTAATGCTCATCTCTAGCTTAAACTTCTACGTCCATTCGTAGTATACATGAAGAATACCTTCCACCATATAAAAACATATCCAAGAGCTCCAACAACAATAATGGCTGTTACCCTGTTTCTTCTGGAATCTGCAATTGAAATTATAAAGGTTAACAGACAAATTACTTGAAATACCATGATCAAAAGAGAACAATAACAAGTTGACCATATTATACAGAAGAAAATAATGCAATAGAAAAACATCTGACATAACTATCAACTATCAGCAGTACGTTCTGCTACTTGAAATAAGGTCCTGAACATTACAAAACATTAGAAACTGATGAAACCCACTAAGATGTGACAATTTCTACAGAACAGGGAGGAGAAGAATTACTGCCCCTGATTTTGTCTTAGGTAGCATTACCAGAAACTGGACCTGTTCATGCCAGTGAACCATTGCCTATACGGGCCCCAGCATGTCGATAGATAATTTGTAACCACGGCCTGAATCAATTCGCCAAAACTAACAGTCAAGGGACTACTCCATCACATTATATCATTAGGTAAGGGCTGTGATGGGAATATTAGTAGATTTTTCATTTCGAATGAATTTTGTCAAAACTTCTAATTATGACTAGCTCTAGAAGATCATTCAATCACTACTCCCCTTTTTTTTGGGGTAAATGGTTGGATGGGTGTGATCATAGGGTTGATGGGGTGGGATTGAGGATCCTTCATTCAACTCACTTTTAATTGTTGGGTAAAAGACTACTGAAGATAGCATTGCAATTTCAAAACCACACCATATGAAGTACATATTTGTTATTTTCTAATACTGAAGACCATTGACTGCAGTTTTCTAGTACACCAACCTTGTTAGGGCAGAAAATACCGGTCCGAGCAAGGACCAGAGGTTAACTAGTGTAAATAGGATGGTATTCTAAAAAAAGGCAAAATACCATTGAGTACCGGCTAAATGGTTTGACATTCACTACTTTCGAACTATTTTGGTCCAACAGAATGATTCACACCTGATCAAAGGGTTATAGATGAAAGTAATTGCAATCCTTGCTGAAGATCATGCAGCAACATATTATAATTCCGACGTTTTAATGATTTAAGTCATTTGACAATAAAAACCTTATTCCACCATAGAATTTCAATCAAACAGAATTTTGAAATACTTCTAACAGCCTTATTCAATTTAAGAATATAAGATTATTCCAAGCTAATTTGATGACTCTATGCCCCCAAATTTTCTCTAAAAAATTAAAATGGCATGTAAAATATGTAACATTAGAAATTTTAGCATTCTTCGATTCAGTGACCTTCATCTAGCAAACTTTAGTTCAAGTAATAATGATGCTGCATTTGGCTACTTGTGCAAAATACTAGAAACAAAGTACGAAGAAAATGTCAGAATCAATCACTGTTCACTCACAAAAACTTTATGATGCAACAACATAAAGCATTTTACATGGTGTCAGTCCAACTTTACTATTTTTAAAATATTGATCATCATGAAACCACGTATCCATGTTAAAATAAACTGTATACTGAATTAAGCATATCACACTGCAAAAATAACAAGTTCTATGAGGAGCAGGGAGAATATCTCGAACCTGATCCATCACCAGTAACAATTGTAACTGATCTTGATGATGCCAAGAGTTGCAGCTCCTCTCGAAGTGTGTTAACCTACAAAAATTAATACACCATCAGCATGGATGCATCCTCCTACGACTGAAAACAACGAAAACTGATGACAGTGTCCATTAGCATTGGACAACATGCAACACCAAACTCTTCTGTGGAGCATTCTAAGGGTGACACGCAAACCTGAGCTAACAGAGAATCAGTTTGGGGTTTGCTAGTGGACCGAGGGTTGTCTTTATCTTGTTGCAGGTGCTTCGTAAAAATCTGCATAATTAGTATTTCGATCATTACAAAAAGGACCAGCTGATGACTTCCTGTTAAACGCTTAACATAAAGATAAATCATGGTTGACAGGAGAAGCATTGGTTTATCAGCAATAAGCAAGTAATATGAAGATTAAGAAACTTACCCTGAAAGCACCAGAAAAAAGGGGTGTAATATCAGATAGATTCCTATCCTTCGTAAGCATGGACCCAATTAAACCTGCAAGACAATTAGTTGATCCGACTGCAGAGCAAGAAGAACCGAAACTAACTTGATTCCATGAAACCCCTCGAGATAATTAACAGCACACCGTGCAAATCCTCGACAAAAGAAAAAAGTCGAAGGAAAGGAACCAAGATCACATTCGATCCTATCACCAAAACCAAATTCTTGCAAAGCTTAAGTACTCGTAGAATCAAAACTAGAGCCAATCCCGCGGAAATGACGGCAAATTACAGTGTTTTCCGGGTGGTGTGTGTGTGTGAGAGAGAGAGAGAGGGGGGGTGGGGGGGTTACCCGCTCCGAGGACGATGGTGAGCTTCCCAAGCGCCATGGCCGATTAAAACCCTCAAAAAACCACAGAGAACACCTCCGACATCGACTGTTTTCTCTCGAGGGCTCGATTCCAAGTGGGGATCGATCGATAAATAGGGTTTCCTGCTCGATCGCTCGCGACACCCTTCGCCGCTCTCTCCGACGCCTCGACTCCAGAGAGGCGTAAAGACGAAGCCCGTCCGCTGTAACAGAGCACGATTAACAGATGAGGGCTTCCCGAGCACCCGACTTCTCCATGACCATCACGAAACTGCCACGACGGCGTGCGGTCTTAAACATTACCGCTCCCTATAATCGTTGTATGCGAGACATGAGATCATCCGTCCGATCTTTCCATCGAGCGAATCCTTACCGGACATCAAGAAAGTCGAGGACACGGTGTCACTTCTCCTTGGGACAAAACCATTCGCGCTGGATATGAGCAACCCGAACACATACTCGTTCGAGGTAAGGACGCCAACGGTGGGACCCACCGAAGCAAGTCTCCGTTTCCATTTGGTATACTGTTACTTGGGTTTTATTTTTCATTTTTATGTTTGGAATTACCATAATCATTTTCTTTTTATTATTATATATTAGCCCGTAATGTGGGTTAGGAATGAGTCGGCACTAAGAGGAGGGGTGAATCAATGTAGCGGTAAAAATTATGTCGGTTCAAAATTATGTATACATATACATATATATATATATATGTATATGTATACATATATATATAATATATATATATATATATATATTTATAAATACATATATTTTTCTCAGGTTGAAGAATATGCTCAGTGGGACTATAAGAACCATGAACGATATTATTTCATTTACTCCACTCACCTACTCGTGTCCTCCTCCACAAGACGACGATTAAGAAGCTAGCATGGGACCCACCTAACTTGGAAAACGTGGCAGAATTTGTTGAAAGCGTGGGAGTATATAGTCTTGCACAGATTATATTCTATGATAAGTTGGTAGGTCCAAATAATGATTTGATCTTAGCCAACAACTGGTTATGTTTTATCCATCATTATCAAATATACCGGATTGAATAGGATCTTGTTGTATCTATTAATATTTGTGAGATGAGATTATAAATTCTTAGTAGTTGGATTTGACACAATATTATCATATTAATATTTTTATGTGATTTAAATTTTTTTGAATGAATATCGTATATTCGTTTTAATAATTTGATCTAAAAAACATAATTTTTTTTTATAATGTAATTCTCTAAATATCGATATATATATACAAAAGCACAAAAGGAAAAAAAATTAGGGTCTTATACAAACACTAGTAAATCAATGAAGATATCGTATTCTTCTGTAACCATATTTTCACAAGAACTAGATTGTAAGATATCCATTTTAATCAACATAATTCTCCAAAAATCACTGGAAGTAATACTAACTTTTGTTTCAACTTCAAATTTGAAAAGAAAAGATAGCATTTGTACCCAAAACTCAGAAAGATCATTTCTGAATTGGTTTGAGCCTCAATTTACAAGATCCACAAGTAGTCAATTCAAATTAGAAGATCAGGTAAAAGAATGAAATGACCAACAAACTCTTTCGAAATCTATCACAGTAGTTTGCAGGCTGAGTGATGAAATCTGATAACCTCAAGAAGAGGAGCATGTCCAAGTTTTAAACCATGGAAACCATGGATTTTTTGGACATAAAAATGAGAACATTTATCATCAGTATCATAGTAGAAGAGCACCAAAATCCCCGCACGAACATCTGCCATCCGTGAACCTGTGTAGCCGCTTACTATCCCTTACGATGATCTCTCTTTTGGTTAGAATTGAGAAGAACTTCACAGAATTATGGCAGTCCCTGCACATTGTGATATTCTTGACAACCCTTATGGTTGTACCCTCTGTCGTATTTATCAGTCCAAAGGCAATAGCCAATCTTTCGCTATGGTGTGTAGCAGCAGCGGAACCAACTGAGTTTTCTTCATCTTCTTTGTCGGACAACTCAACACTCTTGTAAGGTACATATCCCAGACATGTTGCTTTCTGGAGCAAGCTCTCCAACAATGCATACATCTCCGCACTCTGTCGGTGGGATCTATCATTAGCCCTGAAGAAATAGACTTTGTCTTTGATGCTAATCCAGCTCCTGTCTCTGATGCTACCAATGTTCTCATTTTTCATCACCTTTCTCACTCTTGAAACATCCTGCCATCTCTCAGCTGATATATACATATTCAACAACAATATGTACGTCTCGATCCCTTTAGGTTTGAGCTCTAGCAGCCTCTCAGCTGCATAGAATCCTAGATCCACGTTACCATGGCTTCGACAACCAGCAATCAGGATCGACCATATTATCTCATTTGGCTCAAAATTCATTTTCTTCACAAAAGCAAAAGCATCCTCCAATCGTCCCTGCCTAACAAACATATCAACCATACATGCATAATGGTCCATGACAGGCTTGATACCATATTCATTCTTCATCATGTTGAAATAGTACTCAGCCTCATCAACCATGCCTGCATGACTACAGGCAGACAACACACCAACAAATGTGATTTGGTTAGGCCTTACACCAACCAACCTCATGTCCTCGAAAAGCTGTATTGCTTCCTTGGAACGGCCATGCTGGGAGTAGCCAGTAAGCATAGAAGTCCAAGATATCAAGGTCCTTGTTGACATCTCCACAAATGCTTTGGTCGCATCGTCGATGCAACCACATTTGTTGTACATATTCACTAGCGCACTGCTGACGACTACATCTGACAAATACCCGCTTTTGATGGTCTGAGCATGAATTTGTTCCCCTTGTTCTATGGCCAGAAGACCACTGCAAACAGTAAGAATACTTGAAAAGCTGTACAGATCAGGTTTCATTCCTGATCGATTAAGCTTCTGAAACACTTTAAGGGCTTCAAAGCCACTATGATGGGCTGCCATATCATCCTTCGCCAAATTCATCATTTGAGCATGTCCTGCAATCATCGCATTCCATGTAATCAGGCTAACTGTGTCCATCTCATTGAACAATCTCCTCGCCTCATTAATCTCCTCGCATTTCAAATACAAATACATGATCGAATTCTTTACAGGAAGCTGTGATTCACACCCAAACTTGATGCAGAAAGAGTGGATTTGCTTTCCAAGACTGAGATCCTGTAACATGCAGCACAAGCTGAGAGCACTGGTCAATGTGTACTCATTCGGCTCAACATCTTCCGAAAGCATATCGGCAAACAATGTCAGGCCCAATTCGGTATCACCATTATCACCGCAAGCAGATATGATGGACGTCCAAGATATCACATTCTTGTTGGGGATTCTTCGAAATGCTTTCACCGAAGACTCCAAGCTGCCGCATTTAGAGTACAAGCTGCAAAGCGAGTTGCCCATGCTTGTTTCGGACTCGATCCCGTACTTGACCATATATCCATGAACTTGCCTGCCGAGCTCAATCGAGTACCGAGCACAACATGCGCTCAGAACAGCTCCTAGCGTATAGTTCGTAGGATAACACCCTGATTCCAGCAACCGAACAAATACCAGAATCGCATTCTCAGGCTCTGAATTGCGAACGTAACCAGTGATCAATGCGGTCCAAGTGACAACATTCCTCCGAGGTAATGTATCAAAAAGCTTACGGGCATGATGGGGGGCACCACATTTCATATACACATCGACGAGAGATGTCGATACGAAGGCCTCCTCGTGAGTGCCGGTCTTTATAATATGGGCATGGATAACTTGTGCATCAGGGAGTGACCTGGTTTCGACGCATTGTTGCAGAAGGGGAACATAAAAGGCCGACTCGACGCCGGTTCCCTCTCTTAGCAGGGCGAGGGCTTCTCGCGCGTCAAGAGGCTGCACCGACGCCTCCCAGCTACCGTCCGCCGTCGGGGGACTTCTCTGGTAGGACAGCCTCTGCATCAAAATGCCATTTTTACACTTGAATTATGGGTTGCCACAACAGTCAGTGGCAATGATATAGATGAGGGGGCAGTAGGCAAGCAGATGATGATGATGATTACCCTTTCGAAGGGAACAGATGCGGGAGAGAGCTTTCGGACGTCGGCGTCGAGCCTGTGGGGGGTGCCACTGATGGCAAGAGACGGCAGAGACGCCATTGAAGAGAGGAGGAAGTGGAGGAGGATGGCATAGTGTTAGAGTGGCATTTTGGAGAAAGCGGGCTTGGTTGGCTTGCTCCCTCACTCACATCTTTCCCTCGTTATGTGGTGTGGAAGGGGGATAAGGAACGTGAGCTTGTGGTGGTGGAGTGAAGACAGTAGTAACCTTCTGCTTAGTATTTATTACATGCACATTGTGATTGATGGGAGAACGTTCATGTGATTGACACTCTCAATCCCAAAGGATATTTTATTATTTTATTTTTGTTTCAGAAAACAATTATTATATTTTTTGGCCACTCCTTATTTCATTAATAATTACTTGATTCATTTCCACATCTTTTATATTAACCAACTAATCTACAGATTTCTCATAGAATGTTCACATCATTCACTTTTTGCTTTTTCTTGGGCCTAAATTTTGAAGGGAAATAAAATACAAAAGCAAAAACGTTTTTGTTATAATCTTAAGCGAAACAAGAAAGCAAAAGCAGAAATTATTCGTCAAACATGGTTTTTTTTATTTAAAGAAAAAGGCTAATAAGAAAACCGATTAGATCAAACCGAGAGAATTGGTTTAGTCGAACCTAATCAAATTGATGAATTGGTTCGACCTAACCTATTCGTTAACTTCCCAAAACTATTTATTATTATTATTATTATTATTATTATTATTATTGACTAGAAATAAGCTTTAAGTTTTTGAGTACGTGAAGAAGCTAAATGGCGGCGGTCTGCTGTGAGGCGCCACCGATTCCATCAGCTCCTCGGCTTCGTTCTCTCCGGACATTTCCTCGAGCGACTTCCCCTTTGATTCTGGAACCAAGAAGGTGAAGACGAGGCCCAGAAGATTGCAGGCCGCCAGCACGAAGAGCGCGTTCCGCACGCCGATGCCGGCCGGGTAGCCCTTGTCCCTCTTCGCCGGGTCCCTGCTCTGCGCCGCGTACAGGAACCCGAACGCGCCCACCATGGCCCCGGCCTTGCCCGCGGCTGCAGAGATGCCGTGACACGTGGACCGCAGCCTCGCGGGGAAGATCTCCGCCGGCACGATGAAGGTGGTGCTGTTGGGCCCGAAGTTGGCGAAGAAGAAGGTGAAGGCGTACACGACGACGAAGCCGATGTGGTTGCCCTTGGTGGTCCAGTGGTGATAGGGGATGGCCAGGCCGAGCATGAAGACGGTCATGAAGAAGAATCCCATGATCTGGATGGCGAACCGGCCGATGATGTCGATGAAGGCCACGGTGTACCAGTAGCCCGGAACGGTGCCGCAGAGCGCGATGAGCGTCTGCGCCCGGGCGATCCGGAACACCTCCTCGATGGCATTCATGGTCGCCGCCTTGGGAATCCAGTTGATGGCGCTGAAGATGTCCTTCTGGAACAGGTTCTGGCTGTAGAAGGCGATGTCGAGGAGGAACCAGGTGGTGGCGGTGCCGACGAGGTGGAGGCCGTGGCGGCGGGCAAACTCTCTGGAGAAGAGGCCGAAGCTGTTGGCCTCCTCCGTGGCGGCTTCGTTCTGCTCCACCACGATCTCCACCCGGAGGACCTTCGACATGTCGGCGGCCGCCTGCTTCGCGTTCTTGGCCACCAGGGCGGTGTACCGCGCGGTCTCGGGCATCTTCATCCGCCAGTAGTACGTCAGGGCCGCCGGGAGGGCGCCAAGCATGAGGATTATACGCCAAATGTAGTCGGCCTCCGGCACGGTGGAGCCGGCACGGTCGACAGCATAGGCCGGCGCGTCGAAGCGGCTCTTGAAGGCGGCAGAAACGACGATCGCGACGATGCCGCCGGCGAGGATCCCGAAGCCCTGCATGGCGAAGACGGCGGCGATGAAGGCGCCGCGAGTCTTCTTGTTGGCGTACTCCGACATGATGGTGGCGGAGAGGGGGTAGTCGCCACCGATGCCGAATCCGAGCCAGAAGCGGAAGAAGCAGAGGGTGGCCATGACGCCCTTGGCGGTGTGGCCAAAGGAGAGCCCGGAGGCGACGGAGCAGATAACCATCATCATAAGGGTCATGCCGTAGACTTTCTTCCGGCCGAGCTTATCCCCGAGCCACCCGAAGAAGAGCTGGCCGGAGAGGGTGCCGCAGAAGGCGACGCCGTTCACGGCCGCGGACACGTTGGGCGGGAGCGTGCCGGGGGAGGCCGAGCTGGCGTCAAAGTAGTATATGCGGCCGAGGAGCTTGGTGACGAGGGAGATGCAGAAGAGGTCGTAGGCGTCGGTGAAGAAGCCCATACCGGCGATGACGATGGCCGTGAAATGGTACCACTGCGTCTTGGCGACGTCGAGAGCGTTGAGCACTTGGAGCTGCTCCCCGGCCATTGTTGCCGTGCTTTCCCTACGCCTCCTTCTCAGCCAAACACTTTCGAGGATGGCAGACCTTCTACTCCTTGTCGGCACAGATCTTTCACCCCTTGATGGTGATGACTCGAGGGAAGGAGACCCCAATTTATGGAAGAGATGACCGACTCCTCACTTAAGTCGAAAACGTATTCGCACCCTAACTCGATCTCGTTCTTGGAAAACAGAGGACCGAAAACCTATGGTAATTTTATGGTAATTTTATAACAACTATAATTTTGAAGGAAAATTATTTGAGGAAGAAAAAATAGATATGTTTTTATTTATAAAATTATTTTATTGTAATTTATAAAAACTATAAATTTTTTATATAATTTTTAATAGTAAAATATCTTTTTATTTATAAAATTATTTTATAATAATATAGAAAATTTTAGTAATTGGAGATGCGGGGTATCGATCCCCGTACCTCTCGCATGCTAAGCGAGCGCTCTACCATCTGAGCTACATCCCCGTGTTATCTTAGGATAGGTTAGAATAACTAAGTACGTGATATAATCTGGCTATCAAGTACAGATCCCGTGATCCGACGGTCAACAGAGGCGCGCTCCCCAGCCAATCGCCAACGTTATTCCGCCCGCGACTCACGTTTCCGCAACCGAGGCCGTGTGGGTTCTAGCCGACCACATGTCTCACGTGTCTAGTCGAAACGAGGAGGCTAACGCATCTCACCCTTTCCCGGCCACATGCTCCAAACCCTAGAAAAAGGAACCGGAAGGTGGGAGAGAGACGCGCGCGCCCCCAAGCAACGAGCAGTTCCTTCCTTCCCCGCCCTTCGGACGTGTAGCAGACCGCTCCCTGTAAGGTAGCCTGTCCCGCCCTACCCTCGCCTTCGTCCTCGCATCTATCCTCCCTGACGGCGGCATTCGGATCCGTTGCTAGGGTTTCACCGGACCTCCCTAGAGCTTACCCCTCGCGAAATGGCCGTCCAGCCGTCGGTCGCCGGCCGATCCCCGTTGTCGGCTCAAGTGGTAGGGGATTCGTCTCTGTTTTGTCTTGCCTCTCTTTCTTGTCTCGATGCTGTCTGTGACTTGAAGGCTGGTGGTGCAGGTGGGGAACGCGTTTGTTCAGCAGTACTACCATATCCTTCATCAGTCGCCCGAGCTGGTCTACCGGTTCTACCAGGAGAGCAGCAAGCTCGGCCGGCCGGATGCCCATGGCGCCATGAGCTTGATCACCACCACCGAGGTGAGTTTACAAAATGCTCGAATTTTCAGTCGGGTTGCACGCTTCTTTTCAAGGATGGAATCTTGCAGCTGATAGTTCTCATTTTTAATGACATGAACTGATTGTTGAACGGGATGCAGGCGATCAATGAGAAGATATTGTCTATCGGCTTTGTTAGAGTGGAGACGAAATCGGTGGATGCCCAAGAATCTCTTGGCGGTGGGGTGATTGTTCTTGTGACCGGGTTCCTCACTGGAGAGGACACTGTTAAGAGAGACTTCACCCAGTCTTTCTTTCTTGCTCCCCAGGACAAGGGTTACTATGTCTTGAATGACATATTTAGGTTCGTGGAAGAGGCAGACAACCAGCCAGAGCACCAAGGCTTGGTGAATGGTACTAGTGCACCTCATGTACCGGAGCATGGTTTGTCTTGCAAAGACCTTGCGGTTCTCATGTCTTTTTGACTGCTTTATTTGGAAATATCAAGGCTTATTGCTTTTGACTTGCAGGTTCCCCAACACAAAAGGAGCAGCACGCCCTGGAACAAACGTCCCCATCGGCAGTAGAAGATGAGGGCGTGAGCGAGGTGGAAGTCTATAATCCTTCAGACAATGGGGAGGTAGTAGAAGAGGAAGAACCCATGGGGGAGGTGATTAATGAAGCTCCAAACACTTGTCAAACAGCAGTGGTTGAATCACGTGCTGTGACGACCCAAGAAGAGTTGCCAAAGAAATCATATGCTTCAATTGTAAGCGTCTAATTTGAACATACATCATAATGCCAATTCAGTCATGCATGCTACATGTGACAACTTAAGTGTGTAGCTGTTATTAGTCTCAGGGCATTCCCACTTGTTGATAAAATTAAACAAATAGAGTTGATAGGAGTGTCTTTGTTTGTTTATCCAACTCTGTTTTAGCAAGCAACATATTGATGCCAATTGGTAATCCATGCAACACTCCTTATAGCTTGAAACCTATCATCAAATTTGTCTTAAGGCTAATTATGCCAATTGGTAATCTATGTAACACTCCTTATAGCAAGAAACCTATGATCAAATTTGTCTTAAGACTAATTAGTAAACTATCTTTTCTATATTAAAGCCTGAGCATTATAGATAGATAATAGTGTCATAAACTTGATGCCTTTCAGATTAAATGATCATGATGTGAAACTTGGCATTAATTATATACTTAAACTCATGGGTGATTTTTCGGGCAGTTTAGTGGTATGACCGTTATTCCCTTATCTTCCTCTCTATGTGAACAGATGATGCAACACCAATTATGTATTATCATGAGTTGAAATTGGACTATGCAGCATATCTACATTCGAGGACTTGAAGCAAAGTTTGCAACACAATCTGTTATAGAAGTTTTTATTTGGAAGTACAACACAACTTTATTGAGGATACATTGAATTTTCTAACTAACAATTCAGCCAACCTATAAATAGATAATAAGTTCTTGTGTTGTTAGCTGAACCATGTTAGAAGAATCTAGTTGTGAGAATATCTTGTTGGATTATGGATGCAGGTGAAAATATTAAAAGGTAGTTCTTCTGCATTTGTTCCAGCACGTATTCCTTCTAAGCCTTCATCGATTAAAGCAGAGTCACAGGCACTCCCTACTCCAGCAGCTGATGTGCCTGCATCCAGTTTTAATGCTGCAGAAAGCAGCAATATGCAAGAGGCAGAGGGTAATAATGCTTCTGTATCAAGCTAAAAATTCAATTTCTCAACTGTCTGATAACTATCTGTTTTGATTTATATCCCTTATATGCTTCTTTACAGCTGATGGTTATTCCATATATGTGAAAAATTTACCTTTGGATGCAACCCCTGCTCAACTTGAAGAGGAGTTCAAGAAGTTTGGTGCCATCAAGTCCGGTGGCATACAAGTTAGAAGTCATAAGGTTCTCTTTTATTATCCTGTTCTTTGATATGATTTCAATTCACCTACCACTTCTAATTTGAAGTATTCTCAAAAACTAATTTTGAATCATCTGCAGCTGCAAGGTTTCTGTTTTGGTTTTGTGGAGTTTGAGGCTGCTAGTGCTGTTCAAAGTGCAATAGAGGTATAACTATATATGTCTTGTTTGTTCACTGTATGCTGCCTAAACAATGACTAACATTGTTATCGAGTAAAATTTAGACTGTATCCATGAAGTATCAATCCAGTTCCTATCCAAGAAGAGCTAAGTGTTCAGAATCTGGCTAGAGGGTACTGAATACAAACCTGTTTGTGCACTGAAAGTTTAACACATACTAAGATGGATATGAGGTTCTAAACTTGATCTTTGGTTTGCAGTCAATTGTCATGTAGGTTGTACATCAAGTCAAACAATTTATACTACCCATGTCTTTTTTGGATCATGCTTATCAAATATTCCAAGTGACAATCATGTTTGTTTATTTATTTCTACAAAATGCATGTAGTTAATATTAACTTACTGGAATTTTCAGTTTCCATGTATGGATTTGCTTGCATCCCTAGCCTAATAGATTAAACATGTTTATGACTTAATGATCTGTACACAACACCTGATAACTTCATGGGATCCATGGTGGAGGCCCAGAAGCATTAGCTTGTATTTAGGTTGGTGGTCAGGCTGTTAGTATCCACTGAAAGCTTTAGATATGAGTGGCAATCTCAGCAGAGTATAGGTTACTAGTTCTGGTGATCCTTGCCAACTTCCTTTATGGTTCTGTTTCTTTGATGAAAGTTAAAGGTACAATTTGTATTAATAACTGATTTTGCTCAATTTATGTGATTAATTTTCTATGTAGTTCTTTATCTTTTTGCCAGCGCTGGTTGTCATTATGATTACATTGTGCAATTTGTTGGAGGCTTAAATCTGCGTTCTAGTTTCTATGCTTCTTGTACCTTGTGAATCTAATTTAGTTCTGTGTGGTTATTTTGCTTATGTTTATCTTTTTCTGTTTTAGCACCTTTGGCTTTCTTGCTTGCCTCATTAATTTTTTTTGGGGGGTTTTGTAGGTATACTGTGAAACTTCTCCTAGGGACTTTTTAGCGTGGCTTGTATTGCATCTTCCTGAGAAACTGATGTGACTCAGTTTCATCAAGTTGAAGCCTAGAAAAATTATTTTCTATTTTTAGTGATTTTCGTATGTATTTTAGCTTATTTTTGTAATTGGCCCAGCTTTTCTATATCTAAATGATTTTTAGTGATTGGTCTATTCTAAAATGATATGTATTGATTTAAGTTTTAGCTTATTAGTAAGCTGGTTAATTAGCTTAAGATGTGCTTTATCTTCACGTTCCTATTCAATAGTGACTTCGACCTTTTTATATTATGATGGTGCTTTTATATAATAGCTAACATCTGGCAGTTTAGCCTTTTTATTCTCTTGATTCTCATTGCTCTGTATACCTGTGTCCCAAAACAGGATAGTTTGCAAGCAGCTATGAACCAATGGACTGTAGGAATGATGGTATATTAGGTAGATATTCTTAGTGATTATGCCCAAAAGAATTATTTTGACCATTTCAAACAGCATAACTGGTATAACAAGGATTTCTGTGAAAACTTAGTCAAGTTATAGAGAACTGAGAACAAGGAATTACTGAAGTTTTGTCCCTGCAACTATCGTTTACCATGTTTGGGAATTAACAAAAAGGATGGTGCAATTTTGAGTAGATCGTTGGACCTCGGTTGGTTGCTGGGATTGCCTAGAAGATGATGTCTGCTTAAAATGCTGTATTTTGCCTTTTTCGAAAAGCTCCTTTTGAGTGTTTCTGCTGCATCATAATACCTACGTTTCAGGGTTAAACTGAGCTTCCATGTTTATGGAATACTATCTATTAAGATTTTAATTAATATTTGATGTAGTTTGCACAAGTGCCTAAAGGAAT